AGGGCCCAGTTCAGTTCTCCTGTAATGAAGAGAAGGGCCCAGTTCTCCTGCAAGGCTGTGAAGATCTGCAGTCCTGGTGCTCAGTCTGGAGTCACAGGATGTGGATTGTGAGAAATAGCCACTCACTTTTCATCGTTTAGGAAGGTTTATTAAACCTCATCAAAAATACAACAGAAAACTGAATAAAGAAAAAAGGTTATGGTGATGGGAGGAAAAGATTTTCCCCGCCATGTGGGGAAGGAGAGGAAGGGAGTAGTGAGGGAGAAGGGCCCAGTTCTCCTGCAAGGCTCTGAAGATCCGCAGTCCTGGTGCTCAGTCTGGAGTCACAGGATGTGGATTTTCCTCCCCACTTCACTTCTCTCACCCTGGGTTTCTCCTCAGTCAGGCAAGTTCACATTGAGGTCCACCACTGCAGGTTTTGGGGGGCCTAACATGCAAGAAGCACCCAGCCCCAGATTCCATTCCTTCTGAGCACTGACACCTCCAGAGGCAGCTCAGAAATGCTCTGACCCACATCATCTCCCACTGGGAATGGAGGCCCTGGAGATCATGCTCCAGTGTGGAGAGCAGTGGGATTGTGTCTGCCCTGAACCCTTCTCCACTCATTACCACCAGAGATCAGCGCACAAAAAGGAGGAACAGTCCCCAAACACCCAGCTCAGGGTGGAGTCACGAGGCTCAGACTGAGATCACCACTCATGAGCCAGGCCATTCACAAGTGACATCTTTAGTCATCCCTCAGTGACTGATATCCCCCACAACCCGAATGGCCTTGGGAAAAGCAGATCCTACTAATGGCCTGGCCCCTTTGTCAGCAAGCAAAGAGTCGGGGCTCAATTTACATCCACACCAGACGTGTTGAAACTGCAAATAGGTCATCAGTCCCAGCTGGAGAGCCTGAAGAAGCACTCGTGGGTGGAGGGCCCACTCAGGAGGCAGCCCAGGTCTGACTCTGCAGCCAGCTGGCTGGGGAAGCCAGGCAGGCCTGAGGAGATCTTCCCTTTCAAGAGCTCCCACTTGTTCCCTAAGCAGCTGTCCTCAGTTTAATCAGTAACTGAACAAGTGGGATGAGATGCTGCCTCAGCTGGAGCTGAGTTAGGGATGTGTGTGATGGCAGGAGTCCCCTCCCAGCTCTGCCAGCTCACACAAGAAATTATCACACCTGACCTTTCTCCAGCATGCTTCTAGAGCATGCCCTGGCCTCCTTAGAGGGCACAGAGAACCTCCAGCCTCTTCTCCTAAGGTGGAAAGTTCATCACTTTTATGAGCTGATGAACTGCAAGCATAGATCTCAGCAGGGCCCCACACCAGAGGAGCTGCTGGAGCTCCAAAGGGCTTTTCAAGAGAACAAAGCTGCTCTGATAACAGCAGCTTCAAGCCCAAACAGAGGCTCTTGCAGAGCAAATCACCCTCTCAGCAGTCTGTGCCTGGGGGCAGAAGGAGATGCAGGACACTCCCAGCATCAACACTCCAGGAAGAGGGGAAAACACAGATTGGAGAAATAAAAACACTTTCACCCAGCAACTTCTCCCTCCCTGCCTCTCTTCTCTCCCAGGTGAGGGCATCCAAAAGTCAGCTCAGCAAATCCTGGTCCAGCTAAAACTGGCTAATTCCTCCTCCTCCTCCAGATGTGTTCAGCCAGAGGCTGTGCCAGCCTGTGAAGGCTGACCTACCAAGAAAAGGTAATCAAGGAAGATCAAATAGCACTGGAAAACTCCCCAAAAAAGGTAATTAAAGAGAGACGGAAATACTGGAGCAGTGGGAGTGGGAAAGGGCAGGAGAAATCCAAACAGCCACACCTGATGCAGCAGGCTCTGCAGAAAGGGAAAATCCCTTGTGTCCAGGCAATAACTGGGCTGGCACAGCCTGGCACAAAAAGATGCTTCAAGTGTGATCTTGATTAGCTCATGTGCTCCAGGCTGTGTTTGAAGGGAGCTGTGGCTAATCTTCTTTTGATTGCCTTAAAATCCAGCTGTGGGGGAAAGCCTGGCATGTGATCAGATATATTAATGGGTTAGGGGCAGCCTTGTCTCCTAAGCTGGTGTTTGATTAAAAGGGAGCACAACCAACAGGCACTTCAAAAAGCTGCTGCTATTTTTGGCTGCTTCATTTGGAGCAGTTCCTGATGCTTGGATGTGCCCAGCAAACCCTTTGGGACCGATCCTTGCTATATCATTATTCACATTTTAAGGATGTGTGAGTACAGAGAAAAGAGATTCGCTTCCTCCTGAGAGGCCCAGATCAAAAGTCAAAATGTTTTCTATGAATGCATAAGACATAAATTCAGCTTCTGAGGGTTTCAGTCTCAATTTGTAAGAGCCCCGTGGCCTTAAGAGGAGCCCTCCCTACCCTACAGAGCTGGGAAATAGTGTTTAGGTAGCTACAAAGTAGATTCAGCAAGCAAGCTTTAGGCAAAAAAAGTCAGAAAACAATGTCTAGGGGGAATAAATTATTTTCTTCCCCCCTTCTAATTCATTATAATAATTTTCTTTTCCCCCAATACTCTTAATAATGATCTGAAAAGCCATTTCTCTGCACAATGTTGTTCTGACCTTGTTTTCAGCCGGGTAATTGTGCAGTGAGTGGATAAATGCTTTCTCAGCTGAGAACAAGAGGAACCATTAAGCATCAAGCTCCTGACCTAAATTTACATTCAGGGCAGCTGGAGGAGCAAAGGACTGATGCCTGCACCCCTTATCAGCCTGAGGGACACCCTGTAGATGGCATCTTCCTCAGGACACCCCAATGGCACAGGGAGATGTTCTTTGTCCCAAAGCAACCCAAGGCAGGTACCCCTGCCCATGCCAGGGGGCTGGAATGAGGTGATATTCAAGGTCCCTTCCAAACCAAACCATTCCATGATTCCAATGCAAAACACAAAACCTGCTGCCCATCAAATCCTCCTGCCCAAACCATTCCACGATTCCAGTGCAAAACACAAATCCTGCTGCCCATCAGCTCCTCCTGCCCAAACCATTCCATGATTTGAGAGCAAAACATAAAACTTGCTGCCCATCAGCTCCTCCTGCCTTGCTGATGCTTAGTGGCCAAAACTGAGCCATGTCCCCTTTTCCCAATTTTTTTTATTCCCCAGGAGGAAAGGCTGTCTGGAGGGAGATTCAGCTACAATGATTCACAGTGTTTGGAAGCACAGGATCTTTAAGAAAAACAAACAGAAAACCAAACCATGTTTTTCCTTCCTTCTGTGCCAATGCCTTTAGAAAAGTTCTCTTATTTCAGGTGAAATCCAGTTCTTTCCTCTGTAACATTTTCTTGGAATGCATCAGAAACAGCAGCTGCCTTGCCCCTGAGCCCAAATCAGAAAAAATCTTGAAGATTTCCAGGCTCCTGAGTTACCCCTGAGTTTGTTTTGGCTGCAGCACCCCAGCTGCCAAGTCCTTGTGGCCGTGTCAGGATGGGAAGGAAGCAAAGGTATTCACTTTGCCTCTGTGCCTGTCACACCAGGCACAGGGACAGGGTAATTTTGGCACTGTGCTGAGGAAAGTGCTGCCTCCAATGTTCTCCAGGAGGGAGATGCAGGAAAACAGCTGATCCACAAAAAACATGACGGCAGGAATGGCCACCTCAGCCCAGCAGGAGGCTCAGGTGCAGTTAATCCAGATTTAAAGGTGGGAATGGTTAAAGCATACTCTCCTGCTGGAAGCAGTTCCCGGGGAATGGCACCATGGGCTAAATAAAGGACCATGGGAGCAAAGTGCCACATTTCTACTGCCTGGGTTATTTTCCCGAATGATTGGGCTTATGCCAAAGGAGAACAAGCAGCATTTTCTCATTTCTCTCTCATGGAGAATGGGAAAGGTTCTTCTTCCACAAAGCTCCCTTTTAAATTAAGTTTGCTGGGGTTTTGTTTTCTGTAGGATTTCTCTATCCTGTAGAACTTGTGAGGAGGAGAAGGCTGGGAAATGCACAAAGACCTAGCAAACCCATAACCCTCCCTATGGACATGCACAAGCCCAGGCCCTTTCCCATCCCTAAAGAATCCCATGCAAGCCAGAGCTGGACCATCCCTCATCACAGAACCCACCACTGCTGACAAATTCCCATTTTCTGGAGAGCACACATGGATTGAAAGACCCCTGACCCTCCCAAACCCCTTCCCCTCCAAATTAAAGCCACATCTACCCACTATGAGTCAAAATCCTTTCAAATGGTGAAGGCAATACATGTACAAAAAAGAGGCTGCAGAGGTCAGATTGAAGGGTTTGTTCTTTTTTTCTTTTTTTATTACAAAAAAAAAAAAAAAAGAAACCTATTGGGAAGAAGTCCATATGCAACGGAATATAACTGGCACCATCTAAGATACCCAAGTGAAAAATCCCAGAACGTCTGAACCCCCCAGCAGCCGCTGGGAGTGCCAGGGCTGGCTGGGAGGGCCAGGTGGCCTCTCCCTTCCCTTCTCCTAGCCCCCATCATCCTGGCTGGATGGCAGGCAGCCCGAGAGAGCCAGGACACGACAGTGGCATCAGCGGTCTCTGTAAAACCATTCAGTCGAAGAAACTAAGAACATTAATTATGAAAAAAAAAATCTAAAACTTCTCTTATTTTTTTCTCCTTTTTTTTTTTTTTTTGTTTTAACCTTTATCCAAAGCCCTGCTTTAGTGACATGCTAGCCCTGCTGGACAGGTGACACAGCCACAGCTCTGTCCAGAACGCTGTTGACCAGTCAACTCTTGGTTCAGGACACCTTCCTCCCACTCCGAGCGTGTCACGGCCACCTGAATTACAGTAACAAATGCTTCTGCAGGCTTCCTGCTCTGGGAACCCCCTCCTGCAAGCTCCACTCCATGCTGGAACAAATCTCGTCCCAGTCGCCCTCTGAGCTCACCCTCAGTCCCACCTGCATCCGACTGCATCCGCAAGAGCTCTGCCCGCTCCGGCTGGATGAGGCGTTGGAACATCATCTCTTCCAAGAAAAAAACACTTTCATATATATTTTTTTTTCTCTTTTTATATTTAAATAGAAAAATACTACTTCACTCTGTGTTATGAGCCAGAGATGGGTTGACTTCCAGTGACAGAACCAAGAGTTCTCCTCAATGCCAGAAGATTCCCAGAAACCTCAGAGTGGCCGGAGGGTGACGATGTCCCTGTCACGTCCCCAAATAGGCAGGAGCACACGCACAGCTCCCGTCACCACAGCTCCCATCTTCCCTGCTCCACAGAGAGACACCGACCTCAGACAGCCATCAGTCAGCAGTGGGGCTGGCCCCCCAAATCTGGCTCTGTTTTAAGCTTTCTCCTCTCCTACACGCCTTCTGTGTGTGCAGTCTGTCCCTGGAAGCCACAGGATCCCATCGGATGTACACATGAATTAGACAAAAAAAAAAATAAAACAGTGGTTAAAAGTTCTCTAACACCCCGTCCTCCTCTCGTCTTCCAAAGAGTCAACGACAAACAGACACGGATAAAACTAAACCTGCCCTCCTCCCCCACCTCAAGACAACAAGAGTTACTGAGACACGAAACATGTTATCTTGTACCCTCGGGATTACAGCTAGAAGGGAACTTTAGGGGCGCGGGGAGCGCGGGGGGAGGCGGCGGCGGCGGCCGCGGGGCGCAGTCTGCTCAGTTCTTGTACTCAAAAGGCTCATCCCCGGTTTCGTTGAGGAGACACGTGCGGACCAGCGCCTCTGTCACGGCGTAGGGGTCGCAGTTGGCCGAGGGCCGGCGGTCCTCGAAGTAGCCCTTCTTCTCGTGGCCCACGTTGCGCGGGATGCGGATGCTGGCGCCGCGGTTGGCCACGCCGGCCGAGAACTCGTTGATGTTGGAGGTCTCATGGAAGCCCGTCAGGCGCCGGGCATTGTCCAGCCCCCCCTTGGGGTCGTAGGCGCGGATGTGGTACTGGTGGCGCTTGCTCAGCTTCTCGATGGCCTCCTCGATGTGCCTGCAGAGGGAGGGAGGGAGGGACAGGGGTGGCACAGTGAGGGATGGGACAAGCTGAACGCCTCTGGACTGTCGTGTCAAAGTGACAGCGAGATTAATCAGAGTCCCCAAGGCACTTTGTGATGATGTCTTGTGCCCCACGGCCCACATGGCTGTTCATCCCAACACGGGGTTTCTCTCCACTTTTGTGGAGGCCCAGAAAAGGCCCACTTTGCTGGCCCAGAAAAGTCCTCATGGCCAAACCCCACAGATTCCCAGGGAGTGCCACCTGTGAGACACCACCAGTTAAACTTCACGCTTCTCAGACAGGAGAGCTCTCAACACTGGCGTTGCTATTCATGAAGCTCACAGAGTCACGTTATCTCAGGGCAGCATTAAGATTAAGGCAAAAAAACAGAGCTGCCAGGATGCATCCCTCCACACAGCTCCACTGACACAGTGTCCTGACTGCACAGCAGTCATGTGCAGGAACGCACAGTTTGCATTTTTAGGATGTTCATCTCTTAAGAAAACATGGCAGCCTTGCTCAGATGAAGCAAATGGTCTTTCTCTTTCATCATGGCTGTAAAAATATCATTTAAAAAGCCCTGTGCTGAGTGGGTTTGTTTGTTTGTTCCCAGCACTGGGAGGTCAGGAGCTGGACAGGCTGTTAGAGATAGCTGCATCCTGTACTGGTGGAGCTGTACTGCTGGCTGAATTGCTCACCAAGCATCAAGACAAGAATGTGTCATTATAAAAAAAAATACATACTAAGAAAAAAAAAAAAGAAACCACAAAAACAAAACAACCAAAAAAACCCTATCCAGAAGACTCAGATGTCACTCCAAGCACCAAAATCATCCAAAATCCTGCTGCCCAGTAAACAACCCAAACACTTACTTGAGACCTCCTTCTTCCCTCATGCTCTTGGTGCTGAAGTTGGTGTGGCAGCCAGCACCGTTCCAGTTCCCAGGGATGGGTTTGGGATCGAAGGACACCACGACCCCGAAGTCCTCACACACCCGGTGCAGGATGAAGCGCGCGATCCAGAGGTGATCACCCATCTCAATCCCCTCGCATGGTCCCACCTGGAACTCCCACTGCAAGGAGGAGGGTCAGGGGCTCAGTGGGGTGGAGACAGGCACCTCCCACATGCTGATGCTGACAGCCACACAGCTCAGAGCAGGCACACGCAGCTCCCCCTGCCTGGGGTTTTTCCACGCTACTCTCTCGCTCCATGAAGCATCTTAGAATGATTTACCTGGGCTGGCATCACTTCTGCGTTGGTTCCTCCGATTTTCACGCCGGCATAAAGGCACGCTCGGTAGTGGGCCTCCACAATGTCCCTGCCATAGGCTTTGTCTGCCCCCACACCGCAGTAATACGGACCTGCAACAGCACAAGGCAACATCAGCCTCCACAGGGAAAAACCCTGACATCCAGTGAACACCCAGCATGGACCGAGAACTCTTCAAAAGCCCCAAGGTGTGTTTTTCATGGAAGAACTGGCAGGGTAGAACACTGACAGAGAGCAAGTTCGCCCCGAGTTTAAGTCTGCCTCTGAGTTTAAGTCCCCTGCAGACCAACAAACCCAGCAGCAAATGTGGATGTGGCCAATCCCCACCTCAGCCTTTCTGTGACAAATTTAATCTTGTTGGTTGCTTGGTTTTTGCCAATATTCCCCTTTCTACCCTCCACCTTCAGTTCTAGGAGCACCTTGAAGCCCTCAACTCGCCCGAAGCTGTGCCACACAGATTTCAGTTCAAACACTCCTGACTTGCTCCAGGCTCCCAGAAGATTACCTTGGGGTCCAGGGAAGCCATTGGAAGGCCAGCCAAATGGATGTCCATCTGTCCCCAAGAGAGTGTACTCCTGCTCCATCCCAAACCAGGGGTGCTGGTTGGACACCATGTCCATAATCCTCCTGCAGGTGTGCCGGAGATTTGACTCTGGAATGGAAAAGCGACATGAGGCTCATGAGTGATGCCACCTCCACTCCCCATTTCTATTTATTTAACACTTTGAGTCCCAAGCAGCATTGAAGAATCCCAAGCCCAGCCCTTTAGTCCATCACCAGCGCTTTGTTTGCTCTCTACTTTCACGTTATTTCTGTGTCATGCTAAGGGCACAGACAGCGTTGGGCAGAGTTTCCATTCCCCTTCCTGGAAACACCAGGAGAAGGGAAGGAGGGAGAAGGTCCATTCATTCACCTGCAGACTGGCGGTTGTACTTGAAGACCTCACAGAGAACGAGTTTGTTGGGATCCTTGCGGAAAGGGTCCCGAAACATGGCAGCAGGTCGCAGGTACATGTCACTGTTGGAGCCTTCGGACTGGTAGGTGCTGGAGCCATCGAAATTCCACTCAGGGAGATCTGGAGCAAAGAGAGGAACCAGCCACAGTGACCCATGGGATCCCTGCTGCCCTCCAGGAAGACAGATGTGAAGATGCTCACAGAGAACAGGTTTAGTCCCAGCTCAGCTAATTTTGTTCCAAGTGGGGGAAGCAAAAAAAAACCAACCAACAAACCCAAAACAAGCAAAAAAAAATCACAGGAGTGCAAGTCCCCGGCCACCCTGGAAAATAACAAGTTGCTGGGCTGTTGGCCAAGCCTGAGTGAACAGAGTAGCACTGAGGACATTTCCCATGTCACAACAACCACAGGGATGAGCAAAGCACCCGGTCCCCTCAGCTGGGAGAGGGCAGACCACGAGCCACCTTCCAGCTGTGGGAATGAGGGGAGCCATGGAATACCCTCAGTAACACTACCAAGGCCTTAAGAAGGTGGGAAGGCAAATCAGATAGGTGGAATCTCACATGGAAGGGGTGTGTGGCCCCTTGCCCACCCCTCCATCCTAACCACTGCCCTCCAGGTCAAAGCCCAGAACTCTACCCAGGCAATGTTATCGCCTCCATATCCCACAGGGAAAGAGGGAGGATGGGAAGCACAAAGATTTCCAACAGGAGCTGTGCCAACCACTCCCTCAGAGGGAAAAGGGGAAAGGAGAGAGGGGAAAAGGAAAAAAAAAAAAAGGAAAGAAAAGAAAAAAGAAAATTCTGCTCAGTCACACACAGTATTTTCATTTCATAACTGTCTCCAGCCAGCTCCATGGCAACCTGGGGAAAATCCTAATGCTATTATTGTGTAAGCTGGGACTGTTTGTTCTGAGGGACACAAGCTCTTAATTACACCGGATAGCTCCATTCTTTCCCCTGCACTTTCTTCTGCCAAACTACTTCCGGCCAAAACGAGTACTCAAGAGTCAATGGGCAGCCCAGCCCCTGCCAAGAGCCCCCAGCCCCTGCCAGCAGCCCCTCCACGGCAGGGACAGCACCAAGGACGGGCTCCCAGCCCCAGGCATCTCCCTGAAACTCCACATCTGGAGAGCTGGGAACATTCCCCTGAGGTATATGGGGAAAGAGGTAACTGGAAGAGCACATCCTCCCTAAAAACCATCCTTCTGCCACGGGAAGAGAGAAATGGCATCCTTCCTCCTCCCAGTGAGGGGCTACGAGTGCTGCACCTGCCCTCTCACCTTCCAGGCTCTTGGGCTCGTGGTCCAGCGTGCGGGTTTTGCAGCGGAGGTGCTCCCCCGTGCCGTCGATCCAGATGTACATGGCCTGCACCTTCTCCCCCTGCGGCAGCTTCATGTACATGTGCTTGATGGCTTTGCTCAGGTGGGAGCTCGCTGAGGTGGCCATGGCTGCAGTCCTGACGAGGGGGTTCCTGCAGGGGGGAATCACAGACAGCCCCAGCTGTGAGCCCTTTCCTCATGCCCACATTTTTCAGCACCCCCCTTCCCCACCCAAGGCCAGGGAGGAGCAGGAGGCAGCTCGGCCGCAGGGCTGGCTGCCATCTCCAGCGGTTCCCTGTCATTCCTCAGGGAGAACACACAGCAGCTCAAGCTAGCTCTGCTCCAGAAACCCTTCAAAACACCAAACTCCTGCTAATAAACCAGAGCAACAGACTTCCAAACGGCTCCTTAGCCCCACATGAACTTTTCACCTCCACACTCCACTCAAGAGCAAGGCTAATGCAAGGAAAGCTTAGCTGAGGCTTTCTGAATAAATCTGCATCATCGAGGAGGGCTTTTCTGCCCCAGCTGCCTTCTCAGCCCGGCTGAGGTTATCCAAGCCCGGTGCCAGGGCAGCAGGAAAAGCAACAGGCAGCACACAGGAGCCCTGAGCACCCCAGCAGCAGCGGGGAGCGGGATGGGCCGGGGTGGCTCTAGAATCCCCAGAGCCCTGCGGGCCGGGCTCTATAGCCAGCCAGCCCACTCGTGTCCGACCCACAGCAGCGGCTGTTTTCCAGGGAAATGCCGGGAATGCCGGCACTTTGGGAATGCGGACTGACTGGGGAAGCCGCTCCAACATCCCTGCGGGATGAGCCGTACCCAGGCCACCCCGCGGCGGCTCCCACCGCCCCGCTGCCCTGCCAGAAGCATCTCCCACGCGTGCCTCTCCAGGCAGCCTCGTGGGGGCCAAAAATAAAACCACAAAAGCTGCAAAGGGAATGTCTTCAACAGAAAACTCAAGCTGCCACTTCCTCCTCCCCCCCCTTCCCCCAAAGGAGGAATTTCCCCTTGGAAGATCTCCCCGGCCCTGCCGAGCCCGGCGGGTGGCGGGCAGCGGTGTCCCCGTGTCCCCCCGGGCCGGTACCTGCGCTCGGCGGCGGCTGCGGGCGGGCGCGGGGCTCCCACGCTCGGCTCCGGGGGCCGCGCCCGCCGCCCCTTTATGGCGGAGCAGCGCCGGCCCCGCCGCACGGATTGGGCAGCGCGGCGGGACGGGAGGGACACGGCACGGGGGACAGGGCCGCCACCACCCCGCCTCCCTCCTCCTCCTCCTTCTCCTCCGCCTGCTCCGGCCCGGCCGCCCCCGGCAAAGGGGCACTCGGGCGGGTGCGGGAAAGTGAGGGAACAGAGGGCAGAGAGCGGAGAGATTGGGTGGGTTTGGGGTGTTTTTAACAGCGCTCCCGACTGGAAAAACAACCCCTCGTCCCTAGGCGGGCGGGAGCGGATCCAAGGCTTTCGGCAGCGTTTACATTAGGCTGCCTTGGCAGAGCTGGCAGGGATAGAAACTGGCCGCCCCGGGAAAACAGGGAGAGAGGGAGGCATGGAGCTCCACCGAGCCCCTTTGGCTTGGTGCCCGCTCCTGGGAGGGGGACAAAAGCCTCGGTGCCCTCCTTGGAGCAGGTCACAGCCTCCAGCAGCTGGATCTGCAGAGCCTCACTGCAAGGATCACTCGAGGGGGGAGAAATCCCCCAGCCCCACCATGGGAGCGCCCAGCAAACCGCAGGCAGTGCCCAGTGTTTTTCCACCATGTCCGGATCTCCACCCCACAGGGTCGCTTGTCCCATCTCCTGCAGCTCCAGGAGATGGGACAAGAGACTCCGGATCCACGGGGCGGGAGAGCCACGCCAGCAGGAGCAGACGGAGCTGGCAGCCGTGTGTGCACACGCCAGGGCACACGCAGGTCCCAGGGCGAGCACACGCCACCCACACGCCTGCCACGGAGCCACACGAGCCTGCTGCGCCCCGTGCCAGCCTCAGGAAATGGCTCCAGAGCTGCCATTCCTCGAGAAGCTGGAGCCTCCCGGACATCCCAGCCACCCTGCCACAGACACGGCCACTGTACAGCCAGAATCCAGAGGGAAAGTGGCCAGGGAGAGCCGGATCCTCAGGAGGGAGGAAGTGGAAGTGCTGGCCAACACCAGGCTTTGATTTATCACCCATCTCAAGAGCCAGATCCTCACCCTCCCTGCGGGGACAGCTTGGCTCAGCCCTCAGCAGCACCTTGGAGCAGCCATGGGTGTGTGGCAATCCCCCGGGGCTGTCCAGAACGAGGTGAAATTCGGGTGCTTTTCTCCTCCTGGAATTGCTTGAGCAAGGCAGAGCCACCGAGCATTGCAACAGCCTGCCCTGAGCACTCCAGAAAGTGCCTCCTACCAGCACCACCCCTGCTCCTGCACCCTGAGCACACAGAAATGGCTCCAACGCACAAACAAACCAACGAACGTGGTGTTTTACCCTGGGAAATGAGCTCAGCAACTCACGTTCAGCCCAAGTTCAGCTGTGGTCACCCAAATCTAACAGCTCAGCTGGAGTAAAAGGAAGCAGAGCAGGAGCAGGAGCCCAAAATAGCTCCCATAAAGGGGAGCTGTCAAGCCACAGGCAATGTAAAGCAGTGTCCAGCCCTCTTCCCTAGGTTTGTGGAGGGTTTCTTTAATCTGAGAGCTCTGACAGCTCCAAATTCTTGGAATTACAGTTCTACCTGCACATTTCCCAGTAACTCTGTCCACCTTTGGCTTCGAACACACCCAGATGTTTACAAGAGGAGGCCCCTGAGCAGTGGGGTGACCCCCGTGCCCTGCAAGCCTCGGGGCTGGGCAGCTCCAGTCAACCCTGAAGGCAAGGGGGGGGAGCAAAGGCAGCTGGACAATGCAAACATCATCTCCCCATCCCAAAAATCCACACCGGGCCGCAACCCCCAGCCTGGCAGAGCCCCCCAGGGTGGGCAGGGCTGTGGTGGCGGGGGTGGCAGGATGGAGCTGCCAGACCCGGAGTGTTTGCTGGCTGGCTCATGCCCAAGGCCCTGTGCTCGCCCTGCACGAGTTTGGGAGCCGGAGAGAAGCGGCAGCCGCGGACCCAGCGCCCTCTCCCGGGAAGCGTTCCCGGGCCTCCTCGCTGGCCTCACCGGGCTTGTTTACCGCCTGCCTTCCTTCCCCTCCTCCCCTTCCAGACCGCCTTTTTAAAAACTTTTTTTAATTAATTTTCTTTCTAAAATTATATTTTTTTAAAAATTTAATTTCGTTTCTTTTAATTTTTTTTTTCTTTTTAATTTTTTTTTTTGGGGGGGGAAAGCCTTCTCGGGCTTTTAAAAAATTTAATTTAGCTTCTTTTTTTTCTGTTTTTTTATTTTTTTAAAATTTTAAAATTATTTTTGGGGGAAAGCCTGCTCAGGCTGCGCTTTTTAAAAATATGATTTATTTTCTTTTTTTTTAAAAAATTAATTATGTTTTTGGGAAAGCCTGCTCGGGCTGTGCTTTGGCCCAGCTGCGTGCTCCAGTGACCCCCGGTGTCGCCAACAAAACCCTCCCGGGAGGCAGCTGGGGAGGGCTCGGTGCCCACGGTGACACCACCCAGGAGTGGATTGAAATCCACCTTCAAAGGGCCACAGGCAGAGCCAGAGAGTGAGACAATGTCCCCTGCCAGGGGTGAGTCCCAACTGGCTCAGGTTTTTCCTTCTTCCTGCTGTTGAATCGTGGGAACACCTTGATTGCCTTTACTGGCCTTTATTGGCCCGGCCCGGCGCTTCCCGCCGGCACAGTTTGATATCCTGAGACAAGTGCCAAGGTTGGGAAGTGGCTGCTGAGTTAGGAGGGTTGGGCAGGCTGGACTTTGCAGCCTCCTGCCTGCAAGGCAAACCCTCAGGGACAGGGCACAGCCGTGTCCCTGCACCTTCCAGGGGAGCAGGATGAGTTTCTCTCAGCTAGCATGAGGAATTCCTCCCCTTTTCCAGCTGCTGGGGCTGCTGTGACTCATCCCTTGTCTGTGTGTCCCCCTCCATCCCTGTCTTCCATTTGGGAATGCCTTAAACTGCAGAAATGTCACACCATTCGGGGGGGTTGGCAACTTGAGGGTTAAATACACAGGATATGAAATTTCCATGTGGCTCAGACCCTGAGGCAGTGGCTGATGGCTTTCAGGGACTTTGCCAGCACTGTGATCCCCACCCCAGACCCTGGGATCTCAAATCCAACAGATTGCAGACCCAGACTGCTAAGCCCAGGTACCCACTGGTCTTTCACCAGCACTAAAGAAAAATTCTGAACTAGAAAGGAAATGTTGTTATTTTGGGGTTTTTTTTCCCAACAGAGATGTCACACAGGGAGGAGGAATTGCCCATTTTGTTGTGATGCCAAGTCCCAGGAGGAGGCTGAACACACCCAAAATGCCCCAGCCTCCAGCAGTGGCACAGCTGGCAGGGAGGAGGGATGGGCATAGCATCATGGAATCACAGAATGCTTTGGTTTGGTGTGGAAGGGACCTGGAGGTCATCAAGTCCAACCCCCTGCAATGAGCAGGAACATCTTCAGCATCTCTCCTCTCCCCACACTCAACACGCTCCTAAACTGAGCTAAATAAAGTGGCTGTGCTCAGGTTGGTCTCTTTCTCCAGGCAGCACTGACACAACCAGAGGACACAGCCTCAAGCTGCACCAAGGGAAATACAGGTTGGATATCAGGATAAAGTTTTTTACAGAAAGAGTGATAAAGCTCTGGAATGGCTGCCCAGGGAGGTGGTGCAGTCCCCATCCCTGGGTGTGTTTAACAAAGCCTGGATGTGGCACTGGGTGCCAGGATTTAGTTGAGGGGTTGGGGCTGGGTTGGGCTTGATGATCTTGAAGGTCTTTTCCAGTAATTCTGTGATTCTGTGAATTCTGTGAGCTATACCACTTCCAGATGCATCCAGGGAAGTGCTTCGTGCTGGGAGGCCCTGCATGAGCAACTGAACTGCACCCAAGTGACCTCAGCCACGGGCTGCCTGTCCTGATATTGCCTCACCTCCACCCCTGCCCACCCCTGGGCACAGCTGCCTCTGCCTGGACCCACGCCAGCAGCCCCTGAGGTGCTCCCAGCCTGGCACACCTGGACATGCAGCACGTTTCACCCAGGGCTGGACAATCCAAGCCAGCACCCGAGCCAGCGCTTAGCTCAGAAGTGACCGAGCCCCCGTGGGGTGTGGGGGACGAGGGCCCTGGGGACACTGACCTTGTGCAAGCAGCAGTGGCCGAGCAGTGTCCCCCGGAGCGCTGCAGGATGCTGACGAAACCCCCCAGGGCAGGCAGGGAGCAGCTGCTGGCCCTGGCTGTGAGCAAACATTGCACGCTCCGCAGCAGCCCCATGCTCCCTTTGAAGGTGCTGCCAGGGTCAAGGGTGGCCGTGGGCTGGTGGCCAGAGGGCTTTCAGCCTGTCCAGAGCAGATCACCTGGGCCAGTTTAGGAAAGCAAATTAATCAGTGCAGACTTACAGAGGCACACTCAGAGTGAAAGAAAAGAACCCCTCCCTCCCCATTCAGCTCCCTGGACCGTGCACAGGGGGAAGAGGAACCTTGGGCTTTCAGCCTTTCCAGAGCAGATCACCTGGGCCAGTTTAGGAAAGCAAATTAATCACTGCAAACTTACAGAGGCACACTCAGAGTGAAAAAAAAAGGACCCTTCCTCTTCATTCAGCTCCCTGGACCATGCACAGAAAGAAGAGGGACCTTGGGCTTTCAGCCTTTCCAGAGCACATCACCTGGGCTGCCCTAAAGAGCAGTTTAGGAAAGCAAATTAATCAGTGCAAACTTGCAGAGACACACTCAGAGTGAGAGAAAAAAAACCTTCCCTCCTCTTTCAGCTCCCTGGACTATGCACAAAGGGAAGAGGAACCTTGGGGCATGGTCCCCAGGACAACCCAGGTGCTGGCACCAGTTTCTCTCTTCAATTAGGCAAAAAGCCACCTCATAGGACTTTGGGGACTTCACCTCAAACTTAAGCACAGCCAATTGGACAGGAGCCAAAAAGTCTTGCCTAAGCAATTTACTAGAAAAAGAAGAGAGCAAAGGAACTAATTGCTTTTGTGGAGTGTTTTACTAGGAGCAAGAACCTCTTGCACCTGGCTCAGGTTTTCTCTGTAAGGAGTTTTGTTATTTTGCCTTTTATTAAAACTTTTCTGCTTCCAACACTAAAAAACAAACAAACAAACAAACAAACAAAAAACTTCTAAACTTTTTTTCCTTTTAAAAAAGACAAAAAATAGTAACAAGAAGCAAATTCCTACAGCCACCTCCCTCCTCACCCCTTTCTGAGCCACCTGTCCCCATGCTCACCTGTGAAAAATGAGTATTTTATGATGGGCTTTTTGCAAATATTAAAATGAATATTATATGTATTATGTTAGAAAGTTATGTATTATTTTCTATATATATAAATTACGTATTAATTTTCTTAAGTAGTGTGGTAAATATAGTTTTAGGTTATAACATAATGTTAAAATAGAAGCTATGCTATGTAAGATACATTTTTTAAAGAAAGGACTTGCAGCGAGATAGCAGCCACAGGACACCTAATCCAAATTGTCCAAAATTTTTATTCCTCTAATTATATTGCTATTTTTATAACCATTTTATTAGTATTAAACTTTTAAAAGCAAGTGTTTGGCGTTTCTGACAGCACCGCTCAGCTTGGCACCCCTCCCAGGAGCCCCTGGCACTGCCCCATGCCCCAGCAGCCCCCTGCCCAGATCCAGGGGCACTCCCGGCTGCCAGCCCCTACCTGCTGTGCTTGCAGAGCTTGCCCGGGGGCCTGCACCTTCCCCGAGCACGTGTTTGCCTCCAGCAGCAGCCAGGGGGGAAGCTGGAAGATGAGAACCGTCAGGGACAGGCGGGATTTGAGACCCAGGAATTGCTTGGCTCAGTTCGTTCTGTACAAGGGTGGAGAATAGCCCAGGGAGAGCTCTCAGCACATGCCTTTCCCCGCTGCTGCAAATTGGTGAGGGTTGTTTGTGTTGGGATATTTTTCCCCCCTATTTTGAGTACACACTGTTTAAAAGCACTCCCAGCCAGGTTGGGGCTGTGTTAGCTGTTAATCTCAGCCGAACACACATCACATCTCCATGAGTGCAGAAATTCTCAAACTGCTGCCTGAGTGGATGAAGGGGTGAATCTGGGCCTGACATTGTAAATTACACAACAACAAAAAAAAATTAATTATAAAAATGATAAATTATTAATTATAACAGCAAGGTGCCGCTGCCCATGTCCCTCCCTCATGGCTGAATTAGGTCCCTGTCCTGCCACAACACATATTTAACCCAGGCTGCTGAAGTCAACAGCCCCAGAGGCTGAGGTAAGGTTACACCAGTGGTTCTGCTTCAGCTGGAGGGGAGACAAGTGAAGGCAGAGCCTGCCACAGGGGCTGTCAGCTGTAAGGGACAGTCCCAAGCAAGGAAACCACGGACAGATGGCAACAGGCTCAAAAATACTGCCCAAGGAAACACCAGTGGGGTGCTTGCCGAGCAAACAGATCTCATGCACTCAGGAGACTGGAGCAGGGAAATCACATGAGAAAAATCACTGTAGGGTGTTCAAGAAAGAAATTCATATTTAAGGGTGAGCTGGAATTCATTGTAAAAATCATTGTAGTGTGTTCAAGAAAAGAATTCATATTTAAGGCTGAGCTGGAATTCCTCAGCCTAGAGAAACTCCACTTTTAAGGCTCTGTGGGCCTAATGTCCTATAAACTATTTATATGAAAAGAGCATGAGGCTGTACAGGGGGGGAAAATTCCAAATTTTCCCCCAAAGCTCGTGGTGAGGACATACTTATATACTTATATTTAATACTTTGCTAAGGGGGAGAGCAAGTTTGTGCACTCAGGCTGGAGCTCCCTAGATTTCTGGCTCTGCAGACCATCACCAAGAGCCAGAGCAATGCTGAGACATTTGGGGTGTGTGGGAAACACCCCCTACCCTCCTGATGGCACCAAAAGGGCCAGGCTGGGCTGCTGGGGGGGCTGTGAGTGCCCAGTGACCCCGGGCAGTGAGGCTGACATTGTGTTTGGGCAGCCTTGGACTTTGCCACGCTGGGGAGCAGTGCCAGCTGATGTTGGGCAAGGAGAAAAACCCCAGCCCATCCCCTCTGGGAACGTGAGGCTCTGCCCCTCGTCACCCCAGGGCTGCTCCCCACGTCAGGGTGGGTGATTTGGGCTGGGGTAGAGGGGCAGCAAAGCCCTCCTGACGTGTTTGATGTTGCAACCCCGCCCTTATCTTTTTATGGGGCCCAGCCACTCCGAGCTTCCTTCTAAATCTGGGCTCTGCTCCTGTGTCCACCTCTTTTTTTCAAACTTTTTTTGGTTTTTTTTTTTTTCCTAGATAGCCACCCAGCTCACGTGAGCTCCTCTTGTGAGGACGCCATGTGTCCTGGGAAGCCAGGAGAGGAGAGCTCCATCCTGCCAGACCTCTTGGGGAGAAACTCCATGGAAATGGCCCTGTGCCCTCCCAAAGTGACCATGTTGGCCAATTCTTCCTCACAACCCTATTTTTTCCTGGCAGAAGCCCTCACAGTTCCACTGAGGCCAGTCCAGAGCTGGATGAGCACCCAAGGAGCCACCCCATCCTCTGAAGATCCTACTGGGCATCTGCTCAGTTGCCAACTGGAAAATGTGTTATTTTTTTAAGTTTTGACCTTTCTCTGAGGATTTTTGAGTCTTTTAGGTGTGAGACAGCCACCCCTCCAGTTCATTCATATCCCCCCTCTCACGTCTAGGGCTCAGCTGCAGAAATCTTTATGGATCCATGATGGGAGCTGCTGCTCCTCCCCATAACTCCTTCCCACAGCTCTGCCTGGCCCCGCTGGGAGGAGCAGGTGTTCTGTGGCTCACAGCTGCCCCTTCCCCACATCGCTGTGGGTTTTGGCCCAGTGACCAGCCCCACAATCAGCTCGGAGCTGTGCTCTGTCTGAGATGCAGAGCCCTGCTGCTGCTGGGAGCAGCTCCGCATTCCTGGTTTGACAGCGCCACCTCGTGAGGTGGCCCCGCTGCTGGGGACACTGTGGGACGCTGTCCTGCCCCCAGGTCTGGCACAGAGACCAGAGCAGCATCGAACACCCACCTGCGGAGCAGATTCCGCCCCCTGCCAGGGGAGCAGCTCCCTCCTGCTGCAGGATGGGCCTCCTTCTTTTTCTCCTCCTTCTCCTCTTCCAGCTGCAGGGTCTCCAAGGGTAGGTCTGAGCCCCAGATCTGGTGAAGAAGGACAGCAGATAAGAAATGTTGGTCTGTTTGGGGCAAACACAGAGGGGTTTCCTGTGAAATTCCCATCCCGAGCTGAGCAGATGAACTGACAGTGACACCCAGCACTGAGGTGCCACCAGGAACCTCCTCTGAAGGCAAGAAATTTGTCCCAGCAGGGAGAGGGGAAAATTTTTGTGGCATTTATATTCTCTGAAAAAAATCTTTTGTTTAAGATTTTTCTCTTGAGAAGCTAAGAAGCTTAAAAAAAATAATTCTTATCTCATTTGCTTCTCCTGTGTTGTGCTCATGTGTTTGAAAATTGTTTAGTCACAAGTGATTATTTCTTTAGTCTCCAGAATGAGTTGTTTTAATTCATTAGCCAATCAGGGCCAAGTTGTGTCAAAACTCTAAAAAGAGTAATGAATTTTCATTATTATCTTTTTAGCCTTCAGTATCTTTTCTATATTCTTTAGTTTAGTATAGTATTCTTTATTATAATATAGTATCATAAAGTAATAAATTAACCTTCTAAAAAGATAGAATAAAATGCATAATTCCTGCCTTTGTTGGAGCAGTTTCCCACCAAATCCAATGGGGTTTCATTTCAGAACTGCCCGAGTGTGCCTGCAGGGCTGGAGATTTAAAAAGTGACATTTCACAGCATCAGAGGAGGGGTAAGGTCACAAGGGACCACCTGGTCCAACACCTCAGCACAAGCAGGGTCCCCTGAGCCCAGTACTGAGGATTGTGCCCAGATGATTCTCAAATAGCTCCACTAAGGGAGGCTCCACAACCTCTCGGAGCAACCCGTTCCAGTGCTCAGTTACCATCACGGTGAAGAAGCTTTTTCTCATGTTCAGGTGGGAATTCCTCTGTTCCTGTTTCTCTCATCCCATTTCATGGGGCCACCAAGAGCAGCCTGGCTTCCACCTCTGCACATCCCCTCTGCAGGCCCATAGAGACACTGCTCAGATCTTCTCTCAGTGCTCTCCTCTGCAGGATAAGCAGGCCTGGAGGGAGCTGCAGCCCCCCAGGAGTCACCCAAAGGAGTGTGTCACAATCAGGGTGGCACTTCGGAACCCAGCACCGGAACACTGCACCATCACGATGAATCCTGGTGAGTTCCCCTTTGCTGGGGGCTTCAGCCCCTCTAAACACAGCCCAAAAGGTGGAAAAATGGGGGAAAAAAGCTGTATAAAGCTTGGAAATATAGGTCCTCCCTGTAAAACCACTGTGCCTTGATGGAAGAGGGCATTTCCAGGGGCATCCACCCACCAGCAGGCTGATGCCAGCACACCTTCCTGCATCCACATCTTCCAGAAATGAATAAAACTTCACAGGGTGGCGGGAGGTGTTGGCCACTGACACTTGCACTGAGTCCTGGGTGGATGAGCTGTGTAATGAATAAAACTTCACAGGGTGGCGGGAGGTGTTGGCCACTGACACTTGCACTGAGTCCTGGGTGGATGAGCTGTGTTATGCCCAGTGTCTGGGTAAGGCAGAGGAGCACACCTCCCTTCTCCTGCCCTCTGGATGCCACCACATTTGTGCCCAGCCTCTGTGAACCTTTGCTGGTTGGGAGGCTGCCATTCACACTCCCCAGCTCCTGCATGCTCCTGAACCTAGTGCTTTCCAAACAGCCTGTGCCACCCATCCAAAAACAATTTCACACACTGTCCCATCTCCAAATCCCCCCCTGCACACAGGACAAGCTTGTACCACACATCCCCTAAAGCTGATTTTCCCCCAAAACTCCACCTCTGGCTCACAGCTGGCCACACAAAGCCCAGGTAACTCTCTCTTTTCCCCCTGTAGCATCCATAGCTTCCACGGACATGGGGCTGCTGCTGCAAGATGATGTTTTTGTTGACTTTTTCAACATCTTTCTGAGCCTTCCTGTAAGTCCACCCTGCACCATCAAACCTGGAGCCTTTCAGAGCTCTCCTCAGGTGAACTTTCTGTGGCATTTTAGAGGCTGCAGGAAAATTGGGGGTTCACCACATTCAGGCTGGAAAATGAGGGAAATCTGAGGATCTCAGCTTGGAGATAAAGGGTCTAAAAGGGAATTTGTTGCCCTTCTGTGTAGTGGGAACAAACTAGAACTCTGGGTTCCTCTGCCATCTCTTTCAGCTCTCCCTTTCTGTTTTAATGCAGATTTTTGGGCAGACACCCCTTTACATCAGTGGCATGGGCCGGTGGTGCCTGTGGCCAGAGCCGCCGAGCCACCTGGTGAGAACTTGTTAGAAGGGAGGAGCGGGAGGAAGGGCACAGGGCAGGGGCGGGAAGGAGCCGCTTTGGCACTGCCAGGGCCCCTCTCTGGCTCTCTGTTCGTGCAGCTGCGAGCGATCATTTCAACCCCGGCCGTCGTTTCGCTGTAAAGCCCTGGGCGGAGCACGATCCATTTAAAGTCCTGCTGCAGTTTATGGGGTCTAGCCATAAACACCGAGCGCATGTGTGGCGGCACGGAAGGACACAAACATCATTCCCCTTGTCCCGGATTCCTCCTGAATCCCGTATTCCTCCTGAATCCCGGATTCCTCCTGAATTCAACAGGAGCCAGGGTGGCTCAGCCCTCCCTCCCCACTCATGCCCGTTCCCCACAGCCCTTGAAACGCTCAGATCCCAAAGCAAACAGGAACCCCCGCTCCTCTGGGAGCCCCCGGGGAGCTGCCATGCCTGGGCTCTGTGAGGAGGAGGAAGGAAGCCCTGCAGGAGCTCGTTTTGGGCACGGGCAGCGGCTGAAACTCGAGTATCCCCCTTGTGCCTAGCACCACCATCGCCATATAGCAACAGGGCTCCTTCCCCACCTCCTTTCCCCGTAGCAGGGACCTGTTACTCACCCTAAAAGCCAGGCAGGATCCGGCTCCTTGCTCGCAGCTAATCCTCTCCTTGGGCAGCGCAGGATGCCAGCCCCGCGGCTTTGCTGGCTTGGTTGGAAAAGCAGCGTCTGCCTCACTTCTGCAAATCCAGCCTGTGCCTGCACCTCGTCCTCTGCCAGAGGCTGCTGGCTTTCATTCGCTCGGGGGAAGCAGGTGAGTCATCGCGGCACGGGGGAAACCGGAGCCGCTGCTCCTCTCGCTGCGGGGCTGGCGCTGCCAGTGCCTGCCCACTGGGTCGTGCCTCTGCTCCGGGCTGGGAAGGCGTTGCACATCCCATTTTTAGGATTTACATCCCATTTTGCAGGGATTTACCCCACCACGCTGTTATAAGTACATGCCTAGCAGGGTTTACCGAGGAGTCCAGGGGTGGAGAGGATCCTGGGTTTGCTGCTGAGCAGGGATGCTTTGGGAAGACAGGCAATGATCTCTCTTACTGGCCACAACTCTGGATTTTGCTCACTTTGCCCCTAAAATGAGCTTTCTCAGTCCAGCTCCTCAGCCTGCATGTCAACTGCTACTGGAAAGAAAGCTGTGGCAGCAGGAGTACTGATTCTCATTTCAGAAAAATAAGCAGTTCACTAAGGCTTTTCCTGAATATATTGCTGCTGCTTCTCCAGTCGGGTTGAAACTCAAATCCGGAGGAAATTGAGGGCAAGCCCCCAATTCAGGACAGAAAAGATGGGCATTTGCAAGGAAGGGAGGCACAACAGCAGGACTAACTGTCCCAGACAGGAGTGAGTTATCCTTGCAAACACCCCGTGTGCATCCTGCAGCCTGCCTGAAACTCCCACTTCAGGGTGATTTGCTGGTCTCCCTCCAGCAGCCTCTTCCAGGGTGGGAGCTGGAGAGTTTCCTTGGGATCTGGCAGGCAGGCCCTGATGCCATCTGTGCTGTGTGTCCCACAGCAGAGCTGCTGAACTGGCACAGTGCTGACCAGTGGCTGCTGGAGAGGTGCATCAGCGGGAGCCAGGGCATGCAGCACCTCTGCGCCTTCCTCCGGGGAACTGCAGGTGGGCACGGGATGCTCCACAGCCCCCTCCCTGCCAGCCAGGGCCACCTGCCTGCCAGGAGGCTGGCACAGAGCTGGGGGCATGGGTAAGATGCCAGAGAAAGCTTTGGAAGGTGGGCCAGCAGCAGAGATGGGAGGGAGATGCACAACCGTGGCTTTGCTGTGCTCTGTTCCCCTCGGTTCTTCTTCATCCACCCTCGGGGCTTCCAGGGGTTCCTCCCTGTTACAGACATTTTTTATGAAAAATCTTTTCTTTAAGATTTTTCTTCTTGAGAAGCTGAGAGGTTTTGGGGACAAAATGTAAACAATGATTATTTGTTGCTGTGGAATGCAACAGGTGGATCTGCGATTGGTCTCATGTAGTTGTTTTCAATTAATGGCCAATCACAGTGAGCTGGCTCAGACTCTTTGAGCCACAAGTTTTTTGTTGGTATTTTTTCTATTTTTAGCTAGCTTTCTGATGAATTTTTTTCTTTTAGTATAGTTTTAATATAATATATATGATAAAATAATAAATCAAGCCTTCTGAAACATGGAGTCAGATCCTCATCTCTTCCCTCATCCTGGGACCCCTGTGAACACCGTCACACCTCCCAACCCCCATCCCTTGTCTGATCTGTAGGGGAAGAACTGATGGACTTCTGGCTCATCACTGAGAGGCTCCTGGGTCTGGATGAGTCGGATGGGAGTCAGAGGGAGCTGTTCTTGTCCCTGGAGCACAGGCTGAGAGCCACTCATCTGCGTGAAGGCTCCAGCGTCCTCACCTTCTGCACCACCATCGTGGGTAAGAGACATGGGAGTTGGGATGAGCACCACCCTTCCAGAGAAGGGATCTTTCCTGGCTGCTCCCAGGGGGATGGGATGCCATCCTCTCCCTGGGGAACAGCCTGCATGGAGCCATCTCCCTGTTGTAATTCCCTGCATCCATCTCAGGGCCTCTTCCAAAAGCCAAGCACATCCAGTCTATCAGCACGAGGAGGGAGATCCTAAGCAAGATGCGGGAACAGGTCCTGTTCATGATTCAGAGTTACTGGCTCCCTAAATTCCTCGAGCACTGCAAGATGGGGATGGAGGAAGAGGAATTGTGCCGGCCTTTGCTGCAGGAATATCAGAAACGTTTGTCACAGGCTGGCTGGCAGCCCCCAGGCCTTGCAGATCCCGTCCCCACCATGCACATCAAAAGGAGCCAGGGTGTGCCAGGGCCCTACTGCAGCCAGAAGGCCAAAGCAGAGGTCTGGGCTATGGTCAAGGAAGGGAGAGACAGCCAAGAATTGAAAATGGCCACTTTTCAGGTGAAAGCAGAGAAGCAGCCAGGGCCAGCTGGGAGCAGGGAGGAATTGTGGCTGGATAAGAATGCTGTGGGATCAACTCCCCAGCAGTCACAGCATCCTGCCTTTGGAGGCAGAGGAAGAGCAGCATTTCCTGGCAGACCTCAGTCCAGTGCAAAGCAGGATCTACAAAACCTCTGTAAGGTGAAAATGCTCCCTGACCTGCTTCCCTCTGCATCCCTTGCCCGGCTGCCATCCCTGAAAAAGCCAATCAAGACCCTGGATTTCCTTCCCTGGGCCCTGAGTGCCGAGGCTTGTGCTGGAAGACCCTTCAGAGATTTCCTGCAGCATCAGAACAGGCCCATGGAGGCTCTTCTCCTGGACCTGTGGCACGACCTGGAGGAGTTTCTGCCCGTGGTTCTGGACTCCGGCAGAGAAAACAGCTTCTCCCTGCGCCATCTGATTGGGGAGAAGATCTGCAAGACCTACCTGGAGGACAGCAGCATTGAGAAGCTGCCCTTGGAGACCAGGACCCTCGTGAGTTTGTGGAACCGTCTGACATATGGAGAATTCTCCCCCTGGATATTCAGAGCCCAGAAGGAGATTTGCAAGGTACAGAGGGTCAGGCTGGGAGGTACAGCTGGCATTGGCACCCCTGTGGTGGTGTGAGGGCTCTGGGGGTGTTTAGGAAGTGAAGCATTTGGAAAATGAAGAGGAAAAGGGATTAGGAAAGGGAAGAACCTGCAGTCACCTTGCAGTGGACCAGGCCAGTGGAAAGGAGCTTCCTCACTGGTTGGGCTGAGCCGTCACTGAACATCTCTGGTGACCCTGGCTAGGTGCACATTCCAGGACCATCCTTCTGCACCCATCATAGTTCCAGCACAACCCCAGTAAAACCCATTTAGAGTCCCAGCCCTTCTGGGCAGCCCCACGGACCAAGCTGGATGTGCAGGTGTGTCCTGGGCATGTCAGCAAGGTGTGAGCCACCCGTGGCACCAGCACTGTCACCCTGCCTGAGGATAATCCCCCTTTGCTCCTCCTCACATAGGTGCTCTGTGGCCTCTATGAGGAATTTCTGGCTGCTGACGACAGGACATTCCTCCAGTTTATGGTAAGGGGGATGCACAGGGGCACCCTGGGAGGTGTGCAGGCTCCATTGGGGATGTGAAAAGGTGGAGAGGGAGTGAGGGACAGAGGGAGGAGAAGCCCAGCATTAGCTGCAGTGGTCTGGCATCCCACAGTCTCCCCAGCCAGTGCTGCCACAGGGTGACACAGCAGATCCTACCCTGCTCCAGCTGCCTGGAGCAATGATCCTCAGGTCTTCCAGGACAGCATTGCCTTCAGCTGGCAGCACTGCAGGCACAACCTGTGAGAGCTCCCCTGGGACAAGCTGTGACCCTGCCTAAAAGCTGGGAGAAATGTAATTGCAGGCTTTTAGTGTAGGCATGGGTGAGCCCAGCACTTCAGGGAATTGATCTGCCCTTTTTTTCCTTGCCCACACTATTAATGTGTAATTATTCCTGCTATTAATGTGACTCATGTGCATGACACACATGGGATGACCCTGCCCCAGCACCAGTGCCTGGTCAGCACAGGGGGGAAGAGGCCATGCAGCCTTTTAGCCTATGATTCAACCACCCTCAAATTTTCCACTTCTTTTTTTTCCACCAAAAAGGATGATATACAAAATCAGAGTCACACAAGCCCTCTTCCCAGACTATTATTCCTCCTGGCATCAGAAATCCCATAAAACCTCTCCAAATTCCAGCATTACATGCAGAAACCTCCTTGCAGGCAGAACCCCCTGAGCATCCCACCTGCACTGGTACCTGTGCAGGCAATTCTTCTCACTGCAGGTGGTGTTCTTCAAACCAACATTTTCCCAAAATGAAATGTAAAATCAGCAGCTGATCCCTGGGCATGTTAAGGAGAGGCTGTCAGGGCTTGGTGTCCTCAAAGACCTGGCTCCCAGAGCCTCAGCCAGGGAGAGCTGAGCATTTTGGAAAAGTCAGCAAAGTCAGCTGGCAGCTCCCAGCTGCTCTTAGTGGGGAGTTAATTATCTGCCCAGGTTTTTTAAGCACCTCTTGTGGAGGAAATCTCCCCTGTGAGGCCGGAGCTGCTCTGGGAGTGCAATTAGCACTTCAGCAGGGTCGGGCCCTGCTCTCTGTGGGCACCATCCCCTGAGCCAAACTCCCCCTGGCACTGCTGCTCCACTGTCAGGGGAGCTGCTGCCAGCTTAGCAGGGTTATTTTTGGTGTCTGCTCTCAGCTCCCAGCCAGAAATCAGCCACTCTACCCCTTAGGCTTGGCAAGCTGTGCAAACTTTTTGTCTTTGGGGAGAGGCGAAGCCTGCAGGAAGGTTTGGGGGAAGGAGGGAGGCACTCCCAGGGCACCAACTGCAGCCAAGAAAACAGCACACGAGGCTGCCAGGCTGCTGGGGACACCTTCAGGGTTGTTTCCAGCACTCCTGAGGGGATTTTGAGCCCTTCAGGAAGGCTGCAAGGCTGTGTCTGGCCTACCTCAGGCTGCCTGTACGCCCCAGCCAGCTTAAGCTGAGCTTTGTGCTCTCACAGATTCCTTCCAGACTGCTTAAAGCTCAAGCAGAGGTCTAAACCAGGCAGGTCTGGAGTCTGAGGTGCAGTAAAACATGTGGGTGATGCCTTGTGCAGGCTGAGCTGGAACAGACATTGGACAGAGCTAAAGAATAAAGCAGGGATTTATTAAAGGCCTCAATGGATCCACCTTGGGCAGCACAAGAGCCCAGCCAGAGCTGCACCCAACATGAACCAAAATGGTCACAAAATGGACAACTGGTCATGAGGTCTCTCACTTTTATAAGTTCTGCTCCATTTGCACATTGGAGTTAATTGTCCAGTTACAGCTTTAGCCCATGCAGTCCCATCCTGCTTGTTTTTCTTTCTTCAGCCCACATTGTTTGTGCTCTTGGGCTGAGATTTGGATCATTTGTCCTTGGTGCCCAGCTGGAGCAGGAATTGTTTTGTCTCCCTGCTCTGTGCAGAGAGCTCATATGAAGCCCAGACCCACACACTAAAGCAGCACAGAATCTGAAAAGCACAAAAGTTCAAACCTGAGGCATTCTGGGCCCAGTGATGGAGATGGGCAAGGTGCTCTGTGCCGTCACCCTGCCCTGTTCTCACCACAGGCTCCAGGCATGGATGTCCCCATGGCCAAGGTGCCAGGCCGTGCTGCTGGCAGATGGGGACATTTCCACCTGTCCCAGAGGATGAACCAGGCCCTGCAGCTGAGCCAGGCCCTGCATGGCACGAGGAGCTTGGAGGAGGTCTCCTCCAAGCACTGGCAATTGCTTGCTGCTCGGGACCTGCAGAAAGGGGGCTCCATCCAGGCAGAGATGGAGCTGCTCCTGGGCAGCCATGGTAAGAGGGGGCTCTCCATCCCTGGCGGGGTTCATGTTGGCTAAAGCCAGTGAAACATGGTTTATGCTCTGGTGGTAGCCCTAAACAGGTGATGGACATCATGGGGTGGGTTGGTACAGTGGGTCTGGGAGCCTTCATTTGTAATTAAAGCTTTGGCAGCTTTTTGTTTCCTGTCAAAATCAGTCAAAACTGTCCACTGGGATTTTAGACAAGAGCCACATTCCCTCCTGCCAGTACCAGGGGCACCAAATGCCAAATCCCTGTATTGTCCTGGATCACCAGAGCAAATGAAAGCTGCAGCAAAGTGGCTGAAGCCCACAGCCAGCAGTGGCTCCTGTCACCTCAGCTCCACATTTTGGCCTTCTGAGGATGCTGGGACTGCCCATGCTGGTGCCACTGGTGTAACCCTTCAGTTTTGTTCTGTCATGCAATCCTTTGGGAATGACACCAATTTTCTGAGCTGCACTGAGGGTGCAGCAGTCACCTGTATCATCCCTGTAGCCTGTGAGCCCTCAGTTTTACCCAAGAAATGCAGTGTTAGAGGTAGATCATTGAGCAGGACACACAAGGGGACAGGAAAAGTGACAAAACCCAGCCCTCAGAGCCAGTGCTGAAGGGCTGTTGTAAGCAGTGGTAATGGACATGGGGTGTGTCCCCTCTCCTCTCTCTGCTGCAGAATCCCAGAGGATGATAGCAGATGAGCTGGCTGTGAGCAGCCCCAGCAGGGAAGAGGAGCTCCTGCAGCTCACGAAGGCAGCACTCGGTGAGTCCACGTGGGCTCCCACATATCCAGCACTCTTGGGGAACTCCTCCAGAAGGAAAGGCCTCTCCAGCCACCACAGGCTGTGCTCTGGGGCATTAACCCAGCCAGGGAGGGTGGCACTGGGGGATTTCTCTGAAGCAGATGCTGAGGAGGTCAGACCATGAGAGGTGAAGCATCAGTGATGATGTGAGAGATGGGGAGACTGTAAAGTGATCAAAGAATCCAATTTTATTGTCAACTACAAATGCTTATACACTGTTTTAGGAAGGCTTATAATGTTTTACTGCAATGATTGGGTTAAAAATCATATAAACAAACTTACACATTTTAAACCTCTCTTGCCTGCAGAAGTCTGATGTAATTTTCTTTTTCCAGTAAACTCGTCTGATTGAATCTTCCCGCAATCTTGATTTAATCCTTAAAGTTCTGTTTGCTCTTGCCAAGGCATCCTGTTATCAAATCTCTTAAGCTAACCAGGTCCAAAGTCCATCATCTGTCTTGTGTCCCAGTATCCCAGTAGTGAAGAGCTCCCTTGGTGTCTCCTGGGCCAGAGTCACCACAGAGACACCCTGTGGAGGCTCCAGGGTCCAGGTGTCACCTCTGGCTGTCCCCTGGGGAAGAGGCCAGCCCTGTTTCTGTCCCCACAGCTGTTGCATCTGAGAGGATTGCTCGAGAGAATGCTGCTGCTGCTGCAAGGAAGAGGGAAGCTAGAAAACGCAGGTCTGGCACCTCTCAGCACACAGCTTTGCTCCTCCCACTCTTTCAGGTGTTTCCCAGTGCTCCCCTGTAGTGCCAGTGCTTTCTGTTTGCTCATTTGAATCTCTTAGATGTGGGGTGGCCTGTGGGTTTAAACTGCAGAATTAGTAAGGAAAGGAGAAAAATTAACACTGCCCACCCCCAGCTCAGATTTACTCTTCACACCTTGTGCAAATCTTGTGCGCTTCATCCTCAATCAACCCCCAGAATGCCACCTGAGCAGTGCTTAGATTCCCAGAAAAATCACTTAAAACCACACTGTGGCCATACTTAAATCATACTTAAATCTCGTACTCGCATTTCACCTCCTGGGACTACTCCAGCACTGGGATATAAAGCAAATGGAAAAATGATCCTGAGCACCTGGGCTGAGCTGATTTCTTCAGCCCAGTTATGCAAATGCACCCTGCCCAACATCCATCCCACCCCAAGGGGCCAGACAACAACTGCTTTAAATTAATTTTTCTATGGCCCATCAGCATTGGTATTCCAGACCCTCACCCCAAACCTACCAAATCACTTCTGGGCCTGCAGGCTGCTGGACTGGAGGAGGAAACACTGCAGATAAACAGGACAGACACTCCCATGTGCAAGAAGAGAGTGCAGGGGAGGGTACCTAGTGCCCTCTACCATTGTCCAACCTCCTCCAGGACCAGAAATCCAGTGGGACCCCAACCCCATGGCCATCCTCTATCAGCTGCTCCCCACCTTAACCCCTCTTCCATCAAACCAGTGCCCTCCTCATGCCTCTGGCTGCCCTTGATGCTCTCTCTGCTCTCCCATCTGGCAGGCTGGAGGAGGAGGGTGAGGAGTATGAGGAGGACGAGGAAGATACGGATGAGGATGAAGAAGAGAAGGAAGGACCCTACTATCAGAAGAAGAAGAAGCAGAAACAGATGGAGAAGGAGAAAAAGTCAGGGAAGCAGAAAAAGACAGAGAAGCAGGAAAAGACAGGGAAGGAGAAAAGGACAGAGAAGGAGAAAAGGACAGAGAAGGAGAAAAAGACAGAGAAGGAGAAAAAACAGAAGCAGAGGAGGAAGGATCAGCAGCAGGAGCAGCAGCAGGATTTGTTGCCCTGGAACAAAAAGCCCAGGTCGAGGCGTCCTCGGTTTGTGCAGGATGGGACAGGGGACCTCAAGACACCAAGGATGGTGAGGAAAGACATTCCTGTGTGCTCCAGGCTGAGGGTGTTTGCCAGGCAAGGCAGAGAGGAGGTGCTGGGAGACAAGGCTGCCACATAAATGGGGTGAGGGGGTCAGACTTGGAGAGCTGCAGAAAGGCAGCAGGGAAAGGCTCCCTGAAATAGGGCTCTCCTTGAGCCAGGTCTCATGAGCTCTTGGAGATCTATTTCCCGCCCAAGATAGCTCAGCTACCTTTTGAGGCGTAAAATCAGCAGGATGGCTTCTGTGGTAGTGTTGGAAACAAAAAAAAAAAAATTTAAAAAGGTAAAATAACAAGACTTTTTACAGAGAAAAAGCGAGCCAGATTCCAGAGGTTTTTGCTCCTGGTAAAACACCCCACAAAAGCCATTGGCTTCTTTGTTCTCTTCTTCTAGTAAATTGCTCAGGTGGGACTTTTTGGCTCCTGTCCAATTGGCCATCCTTAAATTTGACTCCATGTTCTTAGAAAGCTAATTTATTATTGTATTGTATTTATTATATTTATTATATTAAAGACTCTGTACTAAAACTATACTAAAGAATAGAGAAAGGATACAGCCAGAAGGCTTAACAAGATACTAATGGAAAACTTGTGACTCTCTGCAGAGCCTTGACACAGCTGGCTGTGATTTGTCATTAAGTTAAAACAATTCCCATGAAACCAGTCAAACTATGACCGGTTGGTAAACAATGTCCAAACCACATTCCAAAGCAGCAAAACACAGGAGAAGCGAATCAGATAATTATTGTTTTCATTTTTCTCTGAGGCTTCTCAGCTTCCCAGGAGAAGAAATCCTGGGCAAAAGGGATTTTTCCAGAAAATATGACGTTGACACTGGCTGATGCCACCTGTGCTGTGTCCCCACAGGCATGGGCCTGGGCTGCCATCCGGGAGCTTGTCAGGAGCTTCTGCAAGTTCAGGAGGGACATGAAGAATCAAACACGCTGCGCAGAATTTCAGGATTTTCTCCGTCAGGAGCGAAGAAACAAGAGGGAAAGTATGTCCGGTGTCCCTCCACCCCTGCTCCTCCCTCCCCTGGGTTTAGGTAGAGAAGAAATTGGAGAAAATCTGTTCCTTACCTTCCACCACCGTCACTTAGTGCCCTGTTATGCTGTTGCATCTCTCTCAAGTAATGTTGTATATGCAAGTTTGCATCCCTGCCTGAAAAAAAAAGCCAAAAACAACCCAAACCAGGAAACAGTAAATGGAGCTAAGGTGAGACAGGCCAGAAAAACAAACAAAAGGAAATTGTTTTCTGGGTAACAGGGAGCTGGCCTGAACAGAAAGTTTATGCACAGGTTTGAGAGGAGACAGGAAAAACAACTAGAAAAGTAATCTACTAAACACACAGAAACCCCATAAGAGAATTTTGTATATGGGGGAAACAGATTTTTTCCCTTTCATCCTCACTCATTATCTGCTTGTGGGCTCTGTCAGGGCTAACAGCTAGACAGAGCAGCAGGCTTTACCAACAGGCCATTCCCTATGGAAACAGTGAACATAAACACTCTGTGGATGCAAAGAGGAGGAGGGAAGGAGATCACCAGGCCAGAGGGAAGGTGTAGCTCACAGGGGTAGAAAGGGCCCCAGGAAATTGCATGCAGCTAAGGGAAGCCCAGATAGGGTGAAGGAGCAAACCCAGTGCTGGGCAGCAGCACACAGCATCTTTTCCCCTGACTCAGACTTGCCTGTCAAGGAGAAGAAGAGCAAAGGTCCTGCCAAGAGTCCTGCCAAGAGCCCCCGCAAGGGCAAGGGCAAGGGCAAGGGCCAGCAGCAGCAGGTGACGCTGATCAAACGCCGCATTTTGGACAAACAGATCATCATTGTCAACTTCCTCGTGGATGACCTCCGCTTTTACCTGGAGATGGACAGGTAACTTCTGCTTCCACCTTCTTCTAGGTGCTTGGGCACCTGGTGGTATAGAATCCCAGAATGGTTTGGGTTGGAAGGGAGCTTAAAGGTCATCTCGTTCCAGCTCCCTGCCTTGGGCAGGGATGTGTCCCTCTGGACAAGGTTGCTCAGAGTTCCATCCAACTTGGCCTTGGCACCAGCCTGCCTTGGCTCTGGCCCAAACCCATCTCTGATGGAGACGTCCAAAGCCCCAAAGCCTGCAGTCATCCCCTGGCTCAGGGTTCCTATTTGAAATCCTTTTGCTTTGGAAGTCCCTAGCAATTCAGCATTTGGCTACACCATTCTGGATGTCCCAGCTGTGGCGGCATTTCTTCCTTGACTTTGTCCATGTTCCCAACAAACCTCTCAGCCCAATCCATGGCCCTGCAAACCTCTAAGCAGCCAATACCCCCACAACAGGCAAATCCCCATCTTTTAGTCCTCCTCTTTTCCCAAAAAGGGAGAACATCACCTGCCCCAGGTGAACCCTGTGACCACGAGGGCAGCAGAAGAGGGAGGTGACTTTCCATACCTCCTGTGTCACTGCTCCATGGGATTGCTTTGAGGATTGAGCATTGAGTGTTGAGGATTGCTTTTCCTGGCCAAGCAAATACCAAATTGTCAGATTAAGCACTTTTCTGACCCAGAGATGGGGCAACTGAGAGTCATTTTAAAAACTGTTATTACATCTTCAGTCTCAAGTGAGGGGAAGACCATACAGATGTTATAATTCATGCCATCACAATCAGAAGCCAATTATTTGTTAATTACAATAAACTATAAGAATTTCTTGGCCTATCAGCTTTAGCCACACCATACTGTAAATGCCTTAAAGCCAATCATCTAAAATTACCCCTTGTGGGTCCCACTACAATGCATCTTTCATAGTTCTATTTCTCTAAAGTACTTAGTATTTTTTGCAAAGCCAAAGGAATTTAAGAATTTTCTACAAATCCACTTCCCACACCAAATTAAGCAAGAACACGAGTGTCTAGCCTAGCAGTTAAGCAGCTCTTGTCTCAGAGCAAGACCCCACGTGCCTTTGCAGGTTTTCCAAGCTGGCTGATGGCATGGAAGATGCAGACCCCCAGAACACAGAGTCAGGAAACTACAGTTCCTTTCTCAAGAAGAAACTTGAGATCATCAGCAAACTTTTCCTGAACTCTGACATTCCCCCCAAGCTGAGGGTGAGACATCAGGACCTGCCCAGGATGGCTGCTCATTGCTCAAGGCCATGGCGGCACAGCTAGGAACCGTGGTGGGGAAAGAGGAAGAGGGTCTGGATCTGCTGGGGGGAATTTGGGGCGTGCTCTGGAGCTTGGGCCTTCCACATGGGCTGGGAGGGGTGGGAAGCAGTCCTCCAGCAGGCCCTGATAAATTGAAAACAGGCATGTGGATAAGGAGGGGGAAGATGGGGATGGTTCTCCAGCATTACCTGCTGGAGAAATGCCAGGCCTGGAGTGCCAGGATGGTGCTGCACATCCCCAGTCCAATCCTTTCACTCCTCAGAGGCCACTGTCACCACCATCCCCTCCCACTGCACCCACCCCAGTAGCTCTGCCATCTCCCCTTTGGAAGGCACAATGGTTCCCACAGAAATCCAGGTGGGATCATGTCCTTGTGCTGGCATTCCAGGATGGAATTTGGGTCTGAGCTTAGAGACTGCTGAGGTGGGGTCAGGCAGAGAAACCCGGCCCCATCCGAGACATAAACTTCAAAGAATTTAGGGATTTTATAGGAGCTGAGGTTTTAATTAGAGATAAGCTTTACTGGAGTTAATCAAAATCAATGCAGGTCTTGATGAAGTTAAGAGTGAGTAGTTAACTAATAATTGATTGCTTGTCAGCATAATGTTTGGTTAGCTGGGTTTATAATGAAGCATATAGAAACTGATAAATAGCTTTTAGGAACATAAGACAATTGTGGCCTCCTCTGTTCTGAAACCAATTGAAGATGGGGAATAGGAGTTCTACCACGGGTTAATTTGTTATATTTGCATTGAAAAGGTGGAAAGGTCAGAATGAGGAAGACTTAATTTACTTCCTCATTTTGGGATCCCTCCCCATGAAAGGGACCACCAACTCATTTCAAGGAACAAACTACTCATGCTTAATAGCTTTTGAACTAATTACCATATGGAGTGGGGAATGGGATGTACCAAAGTCATGAACATGCATTTGTATTTTGGGTATTCAATACTTGTATAGATAAAAGGACTCTGTAATCACCTGTAAATTGAGGTGTGTATTTGGGACCTATCCCACAATAAACATCCACTTTCCAACTTTAAACTGTTAGAGAGTTTTTTTCTGTCACAACTGGACATTGGTACTAGATCAATATCCATATATTTTTAATAAATCACATCAGGAGTGCTGAAAAGTGCTTTGCTCTCCTCTGTGCCCAGGTGAACATCTCTCAGAAAGAGAGGGATTTCATCTGGCGTTCATCCTCCAAGGGGCCGCTGACCCGGGCCATCTACCACAACGCCAAGGTCACCCTCTTCCCCATCCTGATGTTCTTCTGGAGAAGGTACCTGTCCATCCCCTCTCTGCCCAGGGGGAGGATGCTCTGGGCATGCCACCCTGTATCTCCAGCCACTTCTTCCTCTGCCATCAGGGAGGTTCCCAGGGAGGAGTTCTGGGCATGGAGAGGGACATGGGATGCTCCCAGGGAGGTATTCTGGGTATGGAAAGGGACCAGGGAGGAGTTCTGGGCATGGAGAGGGATCAGGGAGGAGTTCTGAGCATGGAGAGGGATCAGGGAGGCTCCCAAGGAAGAGTTCTGGGCATGGAGAAGAACCAGGGATGCTCCCAGGGAGGAGTTCTGGCCATGGAGAGGGATCAGGGAGGTTCCCAAGGAGGAGTTCTGGCCATGGAGAGGGATCAGGGAGGTTTTCAGGGAGGAGTTCTGGCCATGGAGAGGGATCAGGGAGGTTTTCAGGGAGGAGTTCTGGGCATGGAGAAGAATCAGGGATACTCCCAGGGAGTAATTCTGGGCATGGAGAAGGACTTGGGATGCTCCCAGGGAAGAGTTCTGGGCATGGAAAGGGATCAGAGAGGCTCCCAGGGAGGAGTTCTGGCCATGGAGAGGGACCAGGGATGCTCCCAAGGGGAAGTTCTGGGCATGGAGAAGAATCAGGGATGCTCCCAGGGAAGAATTCTGGGCGGAGGATGGAAAGGGTGACCAAGGGTGAGCTGAAAATGCAGACGAGAACCTCCCCGGGAGCTCAGCTGGAATTGTCTCCTTGGAGCTTCACTGCCCCCGCTGTTTCTCACACAGGTTCTGCACCTGGAAGGTGATGAGGACCTTTCAGGCCTACCAAGGGCTCAGCAGGTTTGGGACCCCTGAGGAGGAGGAGGAGGAGGAGAACTCTGAGCTCCCTGATGAGGGGGACAGGAGCTCTCAGGAGCCCAAGGGAGGCAGGAGCTCCAAGGCCCAGCAGCAGGAGAGGAGCTCCAAGGCCCAGCAGCAGGAGAGGAGCTCCAAGGCCCAACAGCAGGACAGGAGCTCCAAGGCCCAGCAGCAGGACAGGAGCTCTCAGGAGCCCAAGGGAGGCAGGAGCTCCAAGGTCCAACAGGAGAAGAGCTCTCAGGAGCCCAAGGGAGGCAGGAGCTCCAAGGTCCAACAGGAGAAGAGCTCTCAGGAGCCCAAGGGAGGCAGGAGCTCCCGTGGCCGCAAGGAGGGCAAGGTTCCAGCCTCTGCACCTGCAAAAAGCCCCTCCAAAGCAGCCAAGAGCCCTGGCCCCAAGAAGCTGGAGGTCATTGCCTCTACTACACAACATGCTCCAGGTTTGTTCTTCCAGTGCAGAAACACCCAGTGCTGACATCTTTTAGGTTGACCCCCTCCTTCACACAGCTTTGAGGGTGTATGTGCTGCAGGCCTGCTGGGGAAATGGAATGGAAAATTATTATTTTTTTTCCCCTGTCAAAACCAGTCAAAACTGTCCAGTGGGATTTTAGAAATTTTCTTTGGTGAATAGGGAAGTGAGCACAGAGACTTCCTGTGCAAAGAGCTGTTGCATAATTCCTATTTATTTCAATAGCCAAGTTAAAAATAGTCAGGCACACCCCCTGCAACAGAAATAAAAACCCCCAATCTTTTTGGGCTGCAAGTCAAATGCAGGGAGCAGGAAAAGGAGAACAACTGTGCAGCCAAACACCAGGCATTCCATGGAGGGTGCTTGGAATATCTGGAGTGGAGAATAAGCTCCATCAGGGTTTCAGGTGACATCTCCAGGGAAAGAAATGTTTTTTCCTTCCTCATCCCCTTGTTTAGTTTTGATACACTGAATAACTCTAAACTGGAAAACACAAAGTGATGCTGAGCGCTGTCAGTCTGCCTGACAGCCCTCTCCTTGGCTTGAATATTCATTTGAAAATTGTCTAATTGATTTTTGATTAAAGGGGAAACCAAAATAGGCACATACTAATCTTGCTTTGACGGATGAGTGGGCGTCAGCAAGCTGCTGCTCTGCTCCCCTGTCATTTATCACTGTCGAGTTCTGGCTAAAAAGCAGCAGAGTTCAAGGATTTGTATGGCTCCAGGCAGGTGTTTGAGCTCCTGCTCCCCAGCAGGGCTGAGGTGACACAGCCCTGTGCCCCAGGAATGCCAGGCCACGTCCATAGCTCCCACCACCTCACCCCCTGGCTATTCCCATGGAAAACATCCACTCTTCAGCTTGGGTCTCCACCTTGTTACAGAGGTCTTCCAGGACCTTCTCAAAAGTCATTGTTTTAATGCAAAAGTCACAAAAAAAAAAAAACCTCCAGAAAAACCTCATGTATCACAGATGTATTCCAAGCTGGTGACAAGGCAGAAACCTTGTGTTACAGTGCAGTTATCCAGTGTTTGCCAGGATCTCCAGGGAGCAGAGAGAGTGACATTCAAACCGATTCAGATCAGAGATAGGGAGTCGTTTTTTACACTAGAGGGTGGTAAAACACTGGTTTAGGTTGTCCAGAGAAGCTGTGGCAGCCGCATCCCTGGGAATATTCAGGATCAGGTTGGATGAGGCTCTGAACAACCTGATCTAGTGGGAGGTGTTGGGGGCTGCACAAGATGGCCTTGAAAAGTCCCTTCCAACACAAATTATTCTGTGTTTAAAACAGTGCAAGGCTTGGGGCAGTGCCAAGCAGCACAGCCCATGTTTAACCACAGCCACAGGGTGACTGCACTGGACACACAGAAAAGACTCTGATCCCTCCAGGATGGGCATTAATCCCACAGGGACCACACTCCCCAAGCCACCTCTCCTTGCTGCATCTCACAGGGATGAGTGAGACTTGGGGTCAGAAAAAACAGGAACATTTTTAACAGCAGCCAGGCAGGAAAAAACCCCTCAGCTTGCCTGGCATGTAGGGGACAAGATGTGTGACTCAAAATACCTGCTGTGTTTGACTGTGCTGATGTCCAGACACTTTTCTGCATATTATGCTTCCACCAATGATCTTTCTTTAAGGGTCTTGGTTTTCTAACCTTTAGGTAAAAATTTTACCTTTAGGTAAAACTTTACCTTCAGGTAAAAACATTACCTTTAGATAAAAACTTGCTTTTGAGCTGTCATTAAAAAAATTAAAATTGCTTTTGTTGCCTTTTAAAAAGCACTGAAATTGCTGGGGAAAACACCTGTAAATGCAGAAAAAACCTCCTCTCCTCTTATTTTGAGGGTTGTGCAGACGTGGATTGAGCAGGGCTGGGTGGTGACAGGCAGGGACCCATCTGCCATCACCAACATCACTGTCCTCAGGGCACTCCTGGGACAAGCTTCCCAGGCAGGCACAAAGCCTGGCACACCTTTCTTTTTGTAGAAAAATTCTTTTTCCACTTTGTTTTCTCAGTCATACACGGATGTGGTTCAGAATGCTTCAGCTTGGCAGCTGAGAAATGCATAAGCTGAATTAGTAAACAGTGTCCAAAGAAAATTTGAGGACAAACCTCCTAATGAGCCTGTATTAAAAAAAAAAAAAATTTAAATAATATTTTAAAAATAATTTAAAATCTCCCATTTCTGCCACAGAGCCAGGGTGGGACATGTCACCCCCAAATTGTTTCAATGTCAAGTCCTTGCTCAGCCATCCTTCCTTGTGCTCTGGGTAACCTCAAATAATTTGAGGGGGACACCAGTGCTGTCCCCCCTCTTTTGCCACCAGAGCACTGCATGTTTCTCCCCTCACCAGGTAAAAAGGCTCTCCTTTCCTACAACATGTCAGATGGCCTTGGGCTCCTGCTACCACGGCCCCCAAAGAAAACTGAGCCTCCAGAGGAGCAAAAAGGTGAGGAAGCACTGAATGGAGCACTGAATGGAGCCCTCCTGCTCCTGAGGGCTGTGGGGATGGCAGCTGGGCTGGAGGGCTCCCTGCAGCAGCCCTGGTGAGAATTCTGTGCTGTTCTTTCCCTCAGCTGCAGATGCCAGTGGGGAGAAGAGGCCCTCGCTCACTGAGCCCGCCCTGCAGGCTGGGTAGGTGCTCCCAGGGGTGCTCTCCTCCTCCAGAGCCCAGCAGCACAGCCTGTGCTTCCCTTGAATCACAGGGGATGGTGCAGGATGCTGGGCAGCCCCACTAGCTCGAGAAACAGCCACAGAAACTCCCAGCTGCTGCACAGAGTCTCTGTGCCCAGAACTCCTCCCTGGGAACCTTCCTGATCCTTCTCCATGCCCAGAACTCCTCCTTGGGAGCATCCTTGGTCCTTTTCCATACCCAGAACTCCTCCCTGGGAGTACCCATGATCCTTCTCCATGCCAAAACTCCTCCTTAGGAACATCCCTGATCCCTCTCCATGCCCAGAACTCCTCCTTGGGAGCCTCCCTGATCCTTCTCCATGCCCAGAATTCTCCTTGAGAGCCTCCCTGATCTCTCTCCATGCCCAGAACTCCTCCCTGGGAGCATCCCTGATCCCCCTCCATGCCAAAACTCCTCCTTGGGAGCATCCCCAATCCTTCTCCATGCCCAGAACTCCTCCTTGGCAGCATCCTTGGTCCCTTTCCATGCCCAGAACTCCTCTTTGGGAGCATCCTTGATCCCTTTCCATGCCCAGAACTCCTCCCTGGGAGCATCCCTGGTCCTTCTCCATGCCCAGAACTCCTCCCTGCGAGCAACCCTGATCCCTCTCCATGCCCAAAACTCCACCCTGGGAACCTTCCTGATCCCTCTCCATCCCCAGAACTCTCCCTGGGCACACACAGGGCCCCGTGCTGCTCCCTGATCACCCTCACCTGCCTTCAGCACCAGCAGCCACTGATGCAGCATCTCTCCCTTCCCTGCAGGCCCTAAGGGAAGCTCAGCCCTCCCAAAACAACACCCACACAGATGTGATCCAAGGAAGCTGAGCAGCCTGGACACAGGGAATTGTTTGCACCCAGCAAGAAGAAACCTAAAAATAAAGCAACTGACAGCATCCTCCCGCTTACCTGGTGGCAGCACAGCAGCTCACAGCCCTGGCAGGGAGGTGCTGTGACACATGTTTGCAGCTGGAACACCACACAAATCTCCCTCCTCACGTGGATCTGGGAAATGCACCTCAGCTCCTCACCTTCCCACACAAGTGAAATACTTCCTGTGGGCAGCAAAGCTGAGAGAGCCCATTTGGTTCACTTAGCTGGGTGCTGAGATGGGGCCTGCTTTGCAAAAGCCTTTCTGGATTTCCAGCAAAAATCAGCTCCTGTCTGACTGGGGCTTCAGCATGCTTTTTTTGGTGAGGTTTGGGGTTTTGGGGTGGGTTTTTTTTTTGTTTTTTGGGGTTTTTTTAAGCCAGTGTGTGTTTATAAAGCACTAACCGAATCATAGCAAAGGCCTTAATTCTACCCAGCTGAAACTGAGTCAAAGTGACTTTGCCAAGTCACCAGGAAGCTGCAGAAACCACAAATATTCCTTGGACCTTGTGAAGAAAAGACCACAACCTTTATCAGTTTGTCAGAGGCAAGCTCTCAGCTTTGTAATTTTGAGCTATTTTTATCCACTTTTTAATCCCAGATCCTAGAAGAATCCATCCTGGGAATAACACCAGGTGCATTTGAAGGCAGAGGACAACATGTTTCATATTTATCAGTTCTGATTATCAACACTTTGCCTCTGGAGGATCAAAAATACCCAAACCCAAGAACATTTATTTAACTGAAGGGCCTGGGAAGCTGATACCATTCCTACAACACAAAATGTGACCAAGTCTCAGAACTGCTGTGCTGGAAGTTGATTTTGCCATGAAAGCTTTCAGCCCCAAAACCTTGCTGTGTTTTTGTGAGCTCTCTAAGGCCTCACAGATGTGCCTGAAGCTCAGCACAGCAAAACCAAATCCTAAGAGCAGCTTTGACTGCGCTGCCTCTGTTCTGCGGGCTGCTTTGTGGGTTTGTTCCTCAGAGCAGCAGATGAGCCACGGGGAGCTGGGAGCATCCCTGTGCACACAAGCATGTGCATCCTCAGCATGCCAGAGCCAGGACAGGCAGCACCTGAGCCCATCACTGGGCTCAGCCAGCTGTCCTGGGGAGCCCCAGCAGAGGAGAAAGGCAGAGGCACAGCAAATGCAGGCAGGACGGCAGGGCAATGGAGTGTGTGGGGTCAAATCACACCCCTAAGGCAAAGGCAGCACCTCTCAGATGGCCATTGATGCTGGGACAGACCACAGCACTAATTCTGGCAGCTGGTTCTGCCCCCAGCTCCTCAGGACACCTCCATCCTTGGGCTGTGCCCCAGGCATTGCCACACCACCAGCTGCAGCACTGCCCAGCAGTTTCCATCCTTTTCCATCCTGCCTGCTGTCTCACTGGCCCATCCTCCTGGGAGAGGCAGCCTGGTGTTTTTTCACAGAATTCACAGAATTAATGAGTTGGAAAAGACCTCCAAGGTCATCAAATCCAACCCAGCCCCAGCACCTCAACTAAATCCTGGCACCCAGTGCCACATCCAGGCTTTGTTAAACACACCCAGGGATGGGGACTCCAGCACCTCCCTGGGGCAGCCATTCCAGAACTTTATCACCCTTTCTGTGAAAAACTTTTTCCTGATATCCAGCCTGTATTTCCCTTGGTGCAGCTTCAGGCTGTGTGCTGTGGTTCTGTCAGTGCTGCCTGGAGAAAGAGACCAACAGCTTTGCTCCAGTCCTGCATCCATCCCTCCCATGGGTTGATGTGTGAAAAAAGTCACAACCCAAAAAAACCCCTCAACCCATAACCCCACTTGTTAGGGTGAGGAAAAGTCTTCTTCCAGCATGCCTTGCTGTGAGATGCAGATTTCATGGATCCCATTGGTCCTTCCACCCCTGTGCCCTCATCCCATTGGTCCTGGTGTTCTGCTCCGCCCCTCAAAATCCATATATAAACTCCTGCTTTCCCTCTTTTGAGTAGCTCTTCATTTCTCGACTCTTTTGGTGAAAAAGCTCAATCAAGCTCTCCTTGGAACCCCACAGGAAGAGCTGAAATGATCCAGTGTGAGTACAGATGTGTCTGTGCCACCGAGGCGTGTTTTTCAAGAAGCTTCTTCGGGAAAGCTGTGTCACTGATGCTCCAGGAGCAGTCTGCTCTGCAGATGCTGTGCATGGGTCAGCTCTCTTCTCTGACACCAGAACAGAGCACAGGAGCAATCCCTGGAAATTCTTCCCAGCAGCCAGATCACCCCAGAGAGATAAATCACAGCCTGGCTGGGTTTAGTCACTGCTCTGTTTTGAGGTTGCCTGTTGTGTAACAGCAGAACAACAAAATCTTGTGCCAGCTCCTAGTGCCTCCCCAGCCAGGGTGCCCTTTTGCACCTGCCACAGCAGGATTCTCCCCTCAATGACATGAGGACAGCAACGAAATCACCATATCCCTTAAAATATAGCTCAGGTGCTGTTCTGGAAGGGTTTCAGTTGGGATGGATTCTACGTAGGACCAAAATAAAAAGTAGATTTTCCCACAAGAGAAAATGCTGATCAAAACAGAGCCCTGACATTATTTCTTCCCACTGGGACAATAAGCAGTGATGTTTAAAGCATGTCAATGAAATATTTGTATGGATCTCTTTTAAACACAGCATATTTTGTAGATGAGAATGACAAAAAGAAGTCATAATAGAAAACTCACTCATTTCTTACCATTAAGGTAAGTGCCTCAGCCACAGTGCAGGCTCATATTTTTTTATTTGAGTTTATTTCAAGTTTGTTTCTGCATGGGGTCATTAAAAATCAATGATAGGAGTTTGGGACAAAACCCCGCAAAAACCAAAAAACAAACAAAAAAATGTCCCAAAAAACAAAGAAACCAAACCAACAAAGAAAAAAAAAACAAACAAAAAGCCTGCCCAAAAATGAACAAACCACCAAACAAAAAACCCACAAACAAAGAAACAAAACCACACGGAAAAAAAAAAAAACAAAAACAAAAAAAACACTAAAAAAAAAAAAACACAAAAAAACCCCCCACAAAACCCAATCTTTTTAACACCTCAAAAATACTTTCATAAGCAACATACAATCACAGTGCAAATCAGAGCATACAAAGCTCGTGGTTGTTAGACCAGACTCTTTGGAATTTTTCCGAATTCAAGTCCTCCATACTCTGTCCCTGGATGTGCTTTATCCCATCTCCTTACCCACCTCTTCAGCTCTTTTTGAGGTGAATAAATAAGAAATAAAAGGAGTGGTGGATCAGACATGGGGCAGGAGGCAGTGCCATGCTATAGAGAAGGCTCCTGGAAGTCTGCGAGGTGGCTGCACCTGGAGTTCTGCCGTAAGCTGTTGTACACATACATGGTGAGTTCTGGGAAAGTCTCCAGGAAATACTCAGCATAGTCTCCTATTTTGTTGGTGATCCTGAAAGAGAACAAAAGCAGACAGGATTTTTAAAGCCTGTCCAAGGGGAGGATGTCCTTGCAGAAAAAAAGCCATTCCAGAGAGGCTTTTTCATGACTTGGAGAGGTTTCCTAGAAATCCCAGAGCTGCAACTTTTCTACTCCTCAATCCTTTTTTTTCTTTTTCTTTTTTTTTTTTTTTGGCTAATGCTCCAACACCTCCATCTGTCTTTCACTTTCATCTTGGGTAGATCTCTCAAGCACGTGGTGGGGATTCTTGGGCTTGTCCTGGGCAAAGACAGGACTTGGTGATCCTTGAGGGTCCTCTCCAGATCAGGATATTCTCTGACTCTATGGCAGGGGCAAGGATGAGAACACTTACTTTTCATCTTTATGTTCATCCATGTTTCTCATGAGCCTCAGCAGTTGGGTGACATTATTTCTGTATTTGGTAGGTTTTGCATTCCTGGGGTTTTCCATGGCATGTAAAATATCTTTGTCAATCTGAAATAAGGCACACAGATTATTCCCTGCCTTTCGCACCCCACAAAACCCAATAGACTTCGAAGATTTGCCAGCCAACTTGAGAATGATCAACCCCTTTTATCACCCCAGTTAGCAGAGCTCCCTTTAGTATCAACATCCTCTGACTACATGCAAAAGAATTCGACTGAATTGTTTTTTCCAGTTGTCTGTATTTTGTGTGGGGCTACTTTTTCCAGTTCCATTTTTAAACACTCAGAAAATCTTCTGCCTGAATGTCCAGCTCAAGCCTGATACCAACCCAAATTCAAGAGGATTACCGTTTTGGTCCACTGTGGATAAGGAAAAGCTTTCTTAGTGACATTAGGATCTTGAAAAATACTTTTTTGGTTTTGGTCATCTTTGATTTTATTCCATATACTCTTCAGGAAGTTGAACCTGCTGTGGGATGAGAAGCTTCATTAGCTGCAGTGGGATCTCCCAGTGGGATTTCCCAGCACTGCAGGCAATTCCCACAGCAAAATTCCACCTCCTTTGTACTCCCAGGCCTTACCTCTGAATGCTCCAGAAATAGGGATGTTTGCTCAACCCTTCCAAGCCTCGTTCATCAGGAGAAGACAGGCTTTGTACCAGGTCCAGAGCCTCTGTGTAATCTGGGGAATTGGGAGCCAAATCCTCAATTCCAACTTCCTGGAGGGTTTTCCTACCCCCTGATAAAATGTAGAGCACGAGCCTGCCCAGGGCCTGCAAAGAGACATCACTGCTCCCGTGCCACTGGCACCCAGCCTCCAGCCATGTGGAAGAGGACTCATATCCCCAAACCCTGCAGAGGCTCAGAATTATAAAATACACACCTGTTGGAACCCTGGTCACTGAGAATTTTAGATTTTTATCCCATCTCATTACCCTTTCTGTGCTGAAAGGCACTGACCCCCAAGAGAACACTGCGTTTCACCTGAAGCCACGGAGAAGGCTTCCAAAGTTGAATGATAAAACTGAGATTATGGGTGTGTAGTTTGATTAAAAGTGTGTAATATCACATGGTGGAAAGCTTAGAGTTTAAGGGTTTAGACTATAGTAATAAATATAAAGCAAGATGGAGGTTTTAGGGCAGAGGCTGGTCCTTCTTCTTCACCTTCTTCTCCATGGGTTTAGGTGGTTTTGTGTAATTGGATAAAAAAGTCCATGTTGTGGGCTATAGGTGGTTGGGTTAAAAGTAAAAATAATTAAAAGTGGGTTGGGTCATTGGGTTAAAAGTAAAAATAATTTAGGTGTTATTTCTCAACTGGACAGTTTATCCTTAAAAGGCCTTGTAGACAGAGAGAGACAGGGCTCCATTTTTAGTTTGTTAGAGTGAAGTGCTGTAGAACTCAGGGTTTGTGAGACTGCAGTATAGATAAGAACTACTGAACATCTGAGTCCCAACAAGAATT